GAGTCCGGCGCACGAAGAGTCGCAGTTTGATGGGATTGCCTCTTAGATTCCATCTAGATATTATTATATTTATAGTTATCTCAGAACTCCATATTTAGTTGTTTATTTTCAGACTCTAGACTTGTATTTTATTTTGTAGAGGCTGAGTGTCTTAATGAGATTACATTTTACTCATTGTGTTAAGATTTATTTCAGACTCGGAGATATTTTCATTCTATTTCAGTTGGGCTCATTTATTGATTATTCTTATATTTCTTCTGTGCATATCTGATCTTGTACTATTTCTATTATTTGCCTACTTTGTACCTTCACCTTTTGTTGACTCTACTAGAGAGATAGTAACTGTGATGGTGAAATATGTCGTAGTACGGTGTTAGTGCTTGGCAGGTTTGACAATCCAGGTTTTTCCTTGGACAGCAGCCTTGCGTGAACCCTGGGGCGCCACAGTATGTGATCCCCAAATGCTTCAAAAGCTATATACATTAATTATTGCCTACATTATGATCTAGAGAGAAAATAAAAATTCAAATACCGCTCACAAATGTATACAACTCTTGAGAGTCGATATTTGCTAATTTGTTGATGAAGCTCCTCTTGTATATGTTACTTTTGAAAGCTCTTCTTCATCAATTTGCCTCCACCTCCTTGAATATCATCGTTGTGGTACAAAATTCCATCCATCCTCCAACAGTGGCACTAAAATGCTTGATAAAATACATCATGTATTATATCATTTAACAAGCAATTAGTACCAATAACGGGGTTTGTAAATCATCATCAAAACAAGAGATCTAGCAGTCAGGATTATTTGTAGTGCACACTGATGCTTCTGGTTTGGGTTTAAATTGTGTTCTGATGCAACATGAGAATGTAGTAGCTTATGCATCTAGACAACTGAAGACACATGAGAGTAACTACCCAGTTCATGATTTAGAGTTGGCGGCGGTTATTTTTACATTGAAGATATGGTGGCATAGGGTATCAGTTAGCATTGTGTCCGATACAGACACACGATTTTTATCACACTTTTGGAGGAGCTTGCAGTAGTGTCTTGGAACTAGATTGAGTTACAACACGGCTTACCACCCTCAGACAGATGGACAATCAGAGAGGACTATACAGATTCTAGAGGGCATGTTGTGGGCATGCATGCTAGATTTCAAGGGCCCTTGGGAAGACCACTTACACTTGGTGGAGTTCTCTTATAATAATAGTTACCAGACTAACATCCAGATGGCACCTTATGAGGCTTTGTATAGGAGAAAATGCAGATCTCCTACCTGTTGGGATGACTTGGGAGAGCAGTGTCTGCTAGGGCCTGAGATGATAGTGCAAACAGTAGAGAAAATAAAGATGATACAAGATCACCTTAAGTCAGCTCAAGATAGCTAGGTAGAAAAGCTGGGCTGGTGCTAAGAGGAGATATCTACAGATCTAGGTTGGAGAGCATGTCTTCTTGAGGATATCCCTAACCAGAGGAGTTGTCAGATTTGGTAGCTGCAGGAAGCTTAGTCTACGTTGCATTGGTCCATTCGAGATATTAGAGAAAGTATGAGAGATGTCATACAGGCTAGCTTCGCCTCCAATGTCAGAGGGAGATATTATATGAACCACATTCTAACACATTTTTCATTTGAGGGTTATTCGTGGATTTGATCATATATCAATCAAATATATATCAAAAAACAAAAATTCACTAAAGAGTGCGCTGATGAATGAAGAACCACTTGTACTCCCTGAGATATGCAGTGGAGGAAATCCTTGTGCATCGGCAATAATCAGCTCTTTAGTATGCTAGTCAATTATCAGAATATTAAAGCATCCCAAATTACGGATAATGAAAATGAACTCAAAATTCTTAATTGGAAGAGTATCAGTAATTTCACTAATCTGCCTTGGCTCACATGTCATACACTTGCAGCTCATGGGGAGAGGTGAGCTGCCAGCTCACCTCCATTATTCTCTCTCTCTCTCTCTATATATATATATATGCTTTTAGGGGTCGTTTATTATTCCACATGGTCAAATGAACCGGCCCTTAAACTTTTTACCTCTTTATCCTACGGTCTACCCCTCATTCAGTTAAAGTTTATCCTCATATGTTGTTAAACTTTTAACCTTGGTGACATTTTAACATGATAACAAACATGGTTAAAATTAAAAGAAAATTTACTAGAATGAGTTTAACCCATTTTTATCCTTGTACCAAACAAGTCCTTAGTGCAAACTCTTGAAGTTAAGTTGGGACTCCATTATGCTCACTGGGTGCTTCTCTGTTAAATTCATAACTTCCATCTTACAGACCCATGATGCAATTTCTCTGTTAGATCTTTGCCGCTTATTTGAAGATTATCTTAAAATGCTATGATCTTCACTTAGGAGTTGTTTGATTGATAGGAAATAGAGCTATGAAACAATGATAACAAGTAATACATGTTGCGCTGAAACTTTACATGTTTAAAAAAAAGTCATTTTCTCTCCTGTTTCTAGAGCGGTTACCAGGCTTTTCAATGAAAGCAAAATCTTTGGCACAAACCATAGTTTGATTCTCTAGTAAGTTAACAAGATAATTGAAGTTACAATTACAATGATATGATTGTTAATTGACTGAGCACATATCCTAGGAGATTGATATTGATCGAGCGTAAGATTTCATCTGTAGGCAAACATAACATGAGATTTTTCAACTTTTAATGCCAACCCTTTGTCTCTTCTTGGATATAAATGGATGGAGGGTTAGATAACAAATATGCTTTTAACTGCTAAACCTAAAACATTAATAGGTCCAGAACAGCAATCTTGAAACGCGTCGCGGAAGGCGGGCGCGGTGGTTGGGGGGGGGGGTGGGGGGGGGGTGGGGGGGGGGGTGGGGGGGGGGTTGTGGAAGCTTTGGATATTTATGAGATCGGACTCATTTCACCACTAAAAGCTAAAGAAAACTGGAAGTAGACTATTCTACAGGCTAGGAATGTTGGCGTACCCATAGATTCATAGTACATCGTTCTTTATAGCAAGGCATCTAACTATCTATACTCGTACAAAAATTTCATCCAGTGGCCGTAATGGGGCCATGCCATAAATAATTACCCAGTGCTGGAAAACTTAATATGGCCAACCACTAAGTTTAGTGGCAAATGTAAGTAACGATCAAGTATTTAGAATCCTTTTTGCTGATAAATCTTGCAATAAATCTTGCAATAATGTGATCCTGATAATCCCTTTGATAATGACCTTGTCAAATTGATGGCAAGGTTCAAAAATCGAGTATGCAGATTAGTGATTTCTTTTTCGCTAATGGTCTTGTTCAGTTGCAGTGTACAGTTACATCAATAAATCCTGGGGAATGATATTCACTGTGTACATTATATAAAAAATTCTTATAATTATGGGGCTCAGTGAATAAGCTAATGCTATTAATTCACATGACCAATTGTAGAAGTTCCCTACAATCAAGCATGTACATGATTAACTTCATTTAGACTCTTCTCTAGTCTGCTAATCTTATTATCTTGGATAATAATGAGAACCTGAACCACTGAGCTCCAAGCTTCTACAACTTGGACGACTCTCTTAACCAAGTCGTAAACTTAGAGACACAACTAAACCAGCTAGTAACAAGTTTAAAGATTTTAACATATATACCCCCCAAATCTATCTTATTTGTAGGTGTAACCCCAAAATCTAAATAGCTGCTAATTTTACGTTATATTCTTTGTTATTGAGTTAAAATACCCCTTTCGTTTAGTAGTTAAATTTCAAGCTAAGAAGAGAGAAGGGATAAATCAACAAAGTCCCAAAAAGAAAAATGCTTTTCGCCAGTATACCCCAAACTACCCTAGCTATTTGCAGATGTACACCAAATATTTGCTAGGGTCTTGTGCATTGTAAATGTGCTAAATAGGAGGGCACAAAACTTGGCGTAAATTTGCAAACATGCATCTTTGAAGGTAATCTGCGGGTAGGATAGATTAGATTAATTTTGAGGGTATTTAGGCCAAAGCCACACAAGCATAAATAACTTGTCACTACACTTCCCTATTCGTTGACGCCTACTATAAAACAATTATATCTCTTAAGATGCAAGCCTCCAGTGTTGTCTACAGAGGCACAAACACAACTAACTCATAATGAATAATAACTCTCTTATGGTTAAAACCCTCACTCACTGTCTCCAGTGAAGAGTACATTCCAACTCATCGTGCGCTGGGTACAAAATGTAGAAACGACAGGGGATGGACATAAGAAGGAAAAGGGTTTGTGCTTAGTGATGTCCCAGGCAAGGTCCTAACCATCAGTATAATTCCCTTAAATCACAACTAATTATTATTAACACTCTGCACCGCTTCCTTATAATAATTCGCGCAATCCACCATATTTTTTACTACCGTCAGCACAATGCACATGGAGTAGAGAAGCAAATCTCGTAGTTCATCTACAAATTAAGGGATTCTAATTCAAAAACCCTCCCCAAAAGGAGGCATTCATGACACTGCTCTATAGCAACAAATGGCAATAAAAGGAGTGGGGCTCATGAGGCTACCATGTTCTTAAGAACCCACATGCCACGATGACAACACCCTTCCCCATTTGGTTTTAAAGGACAACAATAGCCAAGACGACTTTTTTTCTCATACAATTCATAGCTTATGCTACATTATTGATCTTATAGACGCACATCAATATTGAGTAGTATAATCCTAAAAGTGCAAAATGGAGAGGCGTGAGGATGACTATACCGATCCAAGTATTATTCTAACCACTAGCTATTTGGTGGACAAAGTTTACTTGATAGTTCCTCTAAGGGGATATAAATTAAATTTAAATAAACTAAGAGCCAATGAGTAGCCCACCCTCACGAGGATCACAACATGGTTTTAATTCCCCCAACCAACAATGCGCCCACCTCAACATTTTTGGATAGCCATCTAATAACGTCACACTTGCAATGCCAACAACCAGCCCTTTTAGCATTACTCACAAAAGCAAACAAACTTGAAACAAAAATGAAATACCATCAATTTGTAGCAACAAATCAAAGGGCAGATCACACAATTCCTTGAATACTCATACTATTGATGACAATAGATTGAGAAACAACAACAATAATAAACAAATCAATATCCTCTCAATCCCAGATCACACTTGCAAATAACCACAAATGATTAAACTTAGTAATAAATAAACCAAGCGAAATACCAATTCATCAGAGATGGCAACCTAAGCAATTGCATGTCTTTGGGGTGAAGGAGCAGTAGCCAAAGGGTCTATTGGGGATGTTGCAGTTGATAGCATAGCAACAAGGAGAAGGCAAGCAGAGGCCTTTTGGGCCTCCACAGCAAGTGCACAGTGCACAAATCCTAAAACTCCCCAGCTTCCGCCTGTAACTCTCTCTTACTAGTTTTGACAGTGGCCCTGAGGTTGAACTTGCTGATACTGGCTTCGTTGCTTTATCTATAGCCTTCGCTTGGAAAGATTGCAACTTTAGCATCAGAAATAAAAAAAATTAGACAAAATGGAGAAATGGGTATTTGATTAAGGAGGGGAATTGAGAGAGACCCACCTGGGCCGAGGCTGATTGGATGGAGATTGAGACCATGAAGAGAAGGAAGAGGAAGAGGCATTGTGGAAAGAAAGACGCCATTAGATAGAGGAGGGGCAGAGAGAGGGGGAGAGAGGGGTTTAACTTCAGTTTTGTTGGTGGCTGGGAGTATTTATACCACGGAGGGTGTATATGGAAAAGTTTTGGGAAATGTTCTGAAATTGTGGGTTTCTTAAATAAAATTTTTTTTCACAATTTTTATAAATTGTGTTTGGTTTAACATTAAATTTACAGAATTTTTTTTGTAAAGTACATAAATCTGTACAATTTTACATAAATTGTTTTGCACTCAAAATGAGCTAAAAACACCCAAAAAACTAACAAGTTATTATTAAAATATTAAACCCACCCCCTAACCACCCCGTCACATTTCTCGTGGCGGCTAGAACTCGAAAAATATATAGGGCTTCCTCCTTCGTTCCCGCCCCTAAACTCATTCTCCCGCTCGAGTTTTCCTTACCTCAAGCTCTCATCCCCGATTATTCCCGTGATTCACTAGCGAGCTCAAAGAACTAGGAATTTGCTCTAGTTCGTTGGCGTTCTTGCAGCTAATTTGGGTCGATTTTTCCTTACCTCGAGCTTGTTCGCGTTGGAAATTGATTTCTTCATTGTCATTGAATCTGTTACAATCGTTTATCGATTACAAATTCAAAAAAAGGAAAAAAGTCGATCTTTTTATAAGATCTTCTTACACAATGAAAAACTAAACAAATACAATCACCTTAAAACACACGCAACGGACGTTTATCACCCGTTGCTTCGCGTGGGATCTTTGCCTGTGTCGGGAACGCGTTAGTCCGTGGACCACCGCGAATCAGATCCGGTTGACAGAAAAGTTAATTAATGCTCTTGCTTCACAAAGAAAATAACTGAAGAAGTGATAATATCGACCAAGCGAGATTACGACTCTTCTCGAGATCAAAACTAAGTTTGATCTAGAAGAAAGGGGGAACGGGCCTCAGATTCTTCAAATAGCTTCCTCTTTATGCTGAAGTCCGCCAAGATCTGCTAACCCTCTTCTGAAATTCATGCTCCACTCTTCAATTTGACAACAACTCACCCTCTGATTTCAGATCCCTATAAATGAAGGACATAGGCTTGTATTTATAGGCTTTGGTTGCAGCGTTTTAGGATAAGAATTAATGATTTGACCTCATCCGTAATTAATAACCGCTTAACCATGTTTAGGGATAGCTTCAAAACAGTTGGGAGGCTCTGGAACAGAAGAACCCGCGAAAACAGTCAAAAACTATTAAACAATATATTTTTGGCGTTTCTGGGTGCGAGCCACCATCTGGTGGCTTGGAACTGTGCGAGCCACCAAATGGTGGCTCGGCCTTGGGCGAGCCAGTTCGTACCGTCTCGGGTATTTTGGCTCTAACTCTCTCGTTCGATCTCGGAATGAGGTGACTCAAGATGCATTGGAAAGATGATGAAAAGACCTACAACTTTTGATTTGAACCTCTCCAGAATCAAATTGTATCATGGCTGAAATCTCAGTTCTTTGTGCAAGCCACCAAATGGTGGCTCGGCACTGTGCGAGCCAGTTTGTACTTCCTCGGGTATTTTGGTTCTAACTCTTTTGTCCAATTTAAGAATGAGGTCATTCATGATGAGTTGGAATGCTGAAGAAAATACCTACAACTTTTATCTTTTGAGCTTCTCCAGAATCAAATCTCATCATGGCCGAAATATTAGTTCTTTGTGCGGGCCACTAAATGATGGCTCGGCACTGTGCGAGCCAGTTTGTACCACCTCAGGTATTTTGGCTCTAACTCTCTCATCCTATCTCAGAATAAGGTTATTTAAGATGCGTTGGAAAGTTGGAGAAGATACTTATAACTTCCAATAGGCAAGTCACACATGGTATGGACGAGACACACATGTTATTTCACCCCTTTTCTGCGAATCACAACTCCTGGCTGAGTTGTTTTGTCGTTTGCGTGTCACGTTGACTCGTATGCTTCATCGATTCGCTTCATACATTTCGTTAACTTAGAGGTGGTCATTGAGCATGTTGGCCACTTGGAGCTGACCGGCGAGCACGTGGGCCACTTGGAGCCTGCTGATGAGCACGCAGGCCACTTGGTGGTGGCCGATGATCGTGCGGGCCGCTTGGAGGTGGCCGGTGAACACATGGACCAATTAGAGCTGGCCGGTGAGCGCGCTAGTCACTTGGAGATGGCCGATGAGCACGTGAGCCACTTGGAGATGGTTGGTGAGCGCGCGGGACACTTGGAGCTGGCCGATGAGCGCGTGAGCCAATTGGAGCTGGCTGATGAGCGCGTGGGTCACTTGCCTTGCCGTTCCGATGGCTTGTCACTATGTCATCAACGATTCACAGATTTGTTATTTTGAATGCTCGTCGCCACATCATCTGACAGTTCGTCGCTCGACGGCTCGTCATCTTGACCTGTGTTCGGGACCTATAGGTAATTTTTGACGCCTACAGATACCCCCCACAAAGTATTTCAGTCCCATTCTTTTATAGAGGAGGCTGGAATACTTTGGATATGCTTAGCCTCCAATTCTTTGATTTCTTCAGCTTTCAGCCTATCCAGTATTTTGTCGAATAGCTAAAATTCTTCCGGTACTGCGTTTATCGTCTGACCATTGTCGAAATCTTGAACTGAGACTGACGTATTGATATCTGAATTAGCTCGTGTCATTGAATCGACGCTGAACTGATCATCTTTATCGGGAATTCGTATCTGAATTACGATTGAACTCCCCGGGGTTAATTCGGAATTGAGAGTAATCCTGAGCCTTATTTTGGCCAAATTATTGACACGTCGACCGGTGTTGATTTTCATCGTCGCACATTGACTGGTGTTGATTTGTGTTGAATGGAGTTTGTCCTGCATTGACCGACGTTGACATTCATCCTCACACGTTGATCGGCGTCGATTTCCATCGATCTTCATCGTCACGCGTCGATCAGCATCGACTGTCATCGTCACATGCTGACCGACGTGAACACAGTTTATACTCATACATTAACTGGAGTCTATACAGTTTAAGCTCTTAAGGCGTTGGAGCGAGGAGGACCAGTTTATACTCGTATACTCCTGGGAGTTTAAGTCATAAGACCAACTGATAAAGCTGGTGCGTCAGTGACTATCATACTTATAGGATTTTTGGCAAACCCTTAGCTATAAACGGGTTTGACGAGTCTATACCGACTATCGCTTAAGTCGGGCTAGCACGCAGATTGTTTAAGCCCGTTCCGCAGGTGACGTTATGCTAAAAGAATGAAGTCTCTTAGACTTGATGTTATGATATTGAATATATGGACTTCGTCATTTGTCACGGGAATAGACTAACCGACAACGTATGTTAGGCGTAGACTTTAGGATTTTTGGCAAACCCTTAGTAATTAACGGATTTGATATGCCTTTACCGATTACCGTTTGAGTCGGGCTAGCATGCAGATTGTTTAAGTCTGTTCCACAGGTGACGTTATGCTAAAAGAATGAACTCTCTTAGACTTAATGTTATGATATTTAATACATAAACTTTGTCATTTTTATGGAGAAAGACTAACCGGCAATGCGTGTTAGGCGTAGACTTATCTCTATTTAGGAATTGAGATAACATCCCCCAGACGTGAATCCTGGCGTTCTTTTCATGGAGAAAGGTTAACCGGCAACGTGTGTTAGACGTTGACTTATCTCTACTTAGGATTCAAGATAAAATTCTTCGTGCATGTAGGGCATGGTTTTTGGCATTATTAATAGCGACCTGCCACGATGTCGAATACATGGGCTTTTGTCCTTTTTACAGCGAAAGACTAACCGACAACGCGTGTTAGGCGTTGACTTATCCCTACTTAGGATTCAAGATAAAATTCCTCATGCATGTAAGGCATGGATTATGATGTTATTAATAACAGTTTGCCATGATGTTGAATACGTGGGCTTTTATCATTTTTATGGCAAAATACTAACCGGCAACGCGTGTTAGGCGTTGACTTATCCCTACTTATGATTCGAGATAAAATTTCCCATGCGTGTAAGTCATGGATTATGTTGTTATTAATAACGGTCTGCCACGATATTGAATACATAGGTTTTTGTCCTTTTTATGGTAAAAGACTAACTGACAACACGTGTTAGGCGTTGACTTATTCCTACTTAGGATTTGGGGTAAAATTCTCCATGCGTGTAAGCCATTGATTATGTCATTATTAATAACAGTCTGCCATGATGTTGAATACATAGGATTTTGTCTTTTTATGGTGAAAGACTAACCGGCAACGCGTGTTAGGCATTGACTTATTCATGCTTAGGATTCGGGATAAAATTCCTCATGTGTGTAAGGTATGGATTATGGCGTTATTAATAACGGCCTGCCATGATATTGAATATGTAGGATTTTATCCTTCTTATAGTGAAAGACTAACTGACAAAGCATGTTAGGTGTTGACTTATCCCTAGTTAGAATTCAGAATAAAATTCCCCATGTGTGTATGACATGGATTTTTGGTGCTATGGTATTGAATACGTAGACTTGGTCGTTTTTGCGGAAATGGACCACCCTGCAGTATGTGTTAGATGCAGACTTATCTCTATTTAGAGATCGAGATAAAGTCCCACATGCGTGTAAGGCATGGATTTTGGATGTTGGAAGGTGGTGTCTTCTCTTGGGGCAAAGACAAACCCGGTGCTAATCTGAAGGTGGATTTCTCGTTTATCGAGAGGGAACTCAAGTTTTAGCCCTAACTATAGGAAGGTTTGACCAAGTGAGAGGTTTGAGATGACCCTAACTGTAGTAAGGTTTGATCGATCGATTTGAAAGTGGACCTCTCGTTCATGAAAGGAATCGAGAGGGGACTTTAGCTTTGGCCCTAACTATAGGATGGTTTGACCAAGAAGCAGTGGGAGTGAAGATACGAATAACACTGGGAATGTTGACTCGTACAAATCACTCAGTGGGTTTTTTAGTATCAAGTGGTTAGGACTTAACCCTAAGAGGCTTGATGATTGCTATGGAGCAGCAGCTTGAATTTTTAGATACCATGATGAGATTTTAACATTGGGAGTGTTAAGTGCACCAACACAAAGGGAGTTTGGATGAACTCAGCCGAAAGAATTTTG